GGGAGATGATTGAACCCTGTGGAACCCTACAACTGAGGGACCACGGGGCCAATGCATTCTCCCCAAGCTGCACTCTCTGAGGACGGCCCTCCAAGAAGGACTGGAGCCAAATGAGAGCAAGGCCACCAGTCCCCAACTCAGAGAGCCTCCCCAGGAGGATAACATGGTCGACGGTATCAAAGAGGGCTGAGATACCAAGGAGGACGAGCAAGGACATTTTGCTCCCTGTCGGCTTCCCTAAGTAGGTCATCCAGCAGGGCGACCAATGCCGTTTCCGTGCCGTAGCCTGAAGCCCGACTGAAACGGATCCAGGGCATCGGTTTCGTCCAAGAGAGCCTGGAGCTGGTCAGCCACCACCCTCTCAACTACCTTGCTGAGAAAAGAAACATTGGCGAGGGGCCTATAATCGCCAATGTTGTCCACCGCCAAGCTCAGTATCTTTCTAATGGGTCTAATGAGCATTTCCTTAAGCGCAAGAGAAACCTTGCCCTCAAGAAGAGACCCATTTATTATTTCAGTGGCCCATTCAGTTATCACTGGCCTGGTAGCTTTGATGAGCCCGGCCGGGCAAGGGTCAAGGGAGGAGGTGGTGGCTCAGCAGCGATCAAGGACCTTGTCCACCTCTGTGGACCGCACAGGTTGAAACTGAGTAATTCTCAATGGAAAAGGCTGGAGGTCTCAGCTCAATCCACAGTTTTAAAGGCGCTGCGCTGGAGGTCTCAGCTCAATCCACAGTTTTCAAATAGGGTGCAAGATCCCGGCGGATTGTCTCCACTTTTGATTTTTAAAATGCTGCAAATTGGTCACAAGAAATGCTAGATGGAGGCCAGTTGTTGTGGCCAAATCCGGATAGGTCTCGGCCTGTACAGAAAAGTCTCGGGCTCCCAACAGCCATGGATATGAAGTCGGTTAGCTCTGGGAGGGAGGTGGCTGGATCGTGGGGAGCACGGTATACCAGAAAGATCCCAGTACCATCCCTAGCCCAATCGACACGTGGAGGGCCTCTAGGCCTGGCATCGCCGCAGCAGAGAGCGTGCCAACCTCAAAAGTGTCCTTATAAACACAATGGCAACTCCCCCACCGCGACCCTCCAGTCTACCCTGATGTTGGACAGCATAACCAGCGGGACGAGCCAGAGACAGGGGTACACCTCCTTCACTACCCATCCACGTCTCGGTTATGCAAGCCAGATCTGCATCCTTTTCCAGGATAAGATCCTGTATTAGCTGGGCTTTATTGGCTACAGACCTGGCAATCAAAGTTAGAGTGGAGGGGCGACTGAGCTGGCTACCTCGAGCCTGGCAGGTGGTAACAGCGCCAGAACAATGGACAGCTTTCAGGCATCTGTTCACCGTTCTTCTGGAACGACTAAGAGCTTTACCAACGCCATATCTTCCCCTGCTCATAATCACCTGTATGTTCTTGAACCCTCGCTGGTAGGCAGGCCTTCCTCCCCATTCCTAGCAGAAAACAGTCTAACAGTAGCAGAGAACTCAATTAAGGTAAGAGTAAGAAAGGTAAAGGTTCCCCTTGACAATTTGTTCAGGCGTGTCTGACTCTAGGGGGCGGTGCTCATCTCCATTTCCAACCCATAGAGCTAGCATTTGTTCCAGTGCGATTAGACACAGAACGCCATTATGTTCCCACTGTGGTGGTACCTGTTTATCTACTCGCGTCTTGCATGCTTTCGAACTGCTAGGTTGGCGGGAGCTGGGACAAGCGATGGGAGCTCACTGCGTCGCGTGGATTCAATCTTACAGCTGCAGGTCTTCTGACCTTACAGCACAGAGGCTTCTGCGGTTTAATCCACAGCACCATAATAATTAAGAGTAATGAATGAACATAAGCAAAATAAATTACACACTATAAATTGAATTAGAATCAACAAAAACAAGCAAGACATTAATACCATTTAAATAATTATTGCAACTTAGGGGAGGTAAGCTAGTTCGTATAGTTAAAGAAAGGAAAAAAGCCCATCTGACCATCTTACCTCTAAGTGTAAGAGTATAAGTTTGTTTAAGAAAGCTGAGTGAGGACAAAAGAAGCAGAGTACAGTGGTGCCTCGCACAGCGAGGTTCATCCGTTCCGGATTAACCCTCGCTGTGTGAAACATCGCTGTACGGAAAGAAAAAAGCCATTGGAATGCATTAAACTTAGTTTAATGCGTTCCAATCGGCTGATTTACTCACCGTACAGCGATGTTCCTCTATGGCCGCCAGCCATTTTCGCGGCCTCCCCTCGCTTAACGAGGGCGCGAAAATGCTGCGCGCGGCCATTTTGGGGCTTCCAGCGGCCATTTTGTAGCCGCGGAACAGCTGATCGGCGAGTTGCAAAGCGAAGGTCGGTAAGCGAACCGCTTACCGACCTTCGCTCTGCGATTTTCGCCCATTGGGGCCGTCGCTCTGCGATCGCATTAGCGATCGAAAAAATGTCCCCGTAGAGCGAATTCATTGCTCTACAGGGCGCTCGTTGTGCGAGGCACCACTGTAAAGTGAAATAGAATGAAATAAAATAAACATAAAATAAGAAAGAATATAAAACCAAGATGTCTCCCCACAACCAGGTCCTGTCACGTTGCCATTTGACTGTAGATCTTGTCTTTTCCAAGGAGGCTGTTAGAATTAAGTTTATGGGAGCAGTGATTGCAAGCGAAGCATGGCCCGATGATTAAAAAAAAAGGTGGAATAAAGGTAGCAGGAGAGTTGATAGAAAAAAGGCGCTGCTCTTGCCATCCTCCACGGCTGGAGGTCAGATGAAAAACCCCCACTGGGCATACCCAGTGGAGAGGCCAGGGAGCGTGGTCTCAGCGGCTCTTGTCGATGATGGAATGGCAGAACTCTCCGAGCAAACGTTCCGGAGACATATTGAATGAGTCACAACAGCGCCACCGACGCCTCAGCTCACTTGGCCTCCACCATTGCCACCGCCATCTGGAAGCACCCACAGAACAGCGGGCAGTCCCCCCACCACCACACCAGGCTCCAATGAGCTGCTCGACGCCAAGATTCCACCAAGCCTCTCGGCGCCTCTCCGTCGTTCAGCGCCGGGCTCACCAAGCTTTGCGGGTCGAGTTTTTCCGAGCCACACAGTGTTGGGCTACGTCTCTCAACCACCACCACACACACCCCCGCGCCGGGCCTTGTGGAGTCGGGTTCTTTGTTTACAATAATAAACAAAACTATCTAAGACAAAACAAAAACTAAATACTGTAAATAAAACCAGATGGCATGAAAACAGTGGAACAAAGCATAGCGGACAAAAGGCAGTCAGCTCAAAGTGGTGTGTAGGGGCCTCCCTGAAAAGCCGCCTCTTCAGTCACTTCCTGAGTGGCTGCAGGGAGGGGGCCAAGCGAAGCTCCTCCAGAAGTTGGCTCTGTGGAGGTTGGGGTTGCTGCGAAAAAGGCCCTGCTTCATGTGGAGGACTTAAGGGCCTCCCTCAGGGTGGCCATGCTGGTGAGGTCGGGCAGATGACCTTGGGGAAGGTTGCTGTGAAGAGCAGCATAAAAGGGTTGCATTCGGTGGACCTGCTACACGTTTCCTGCTGCTCTGGAGTTTCTCCGAATTTCGTAGAAATTTTTAACTTTCTCTCGTGCGTGCACACACACACCCTGCTACCCTGCACCTCCTGCTGCCATTCAGTGTGGGGGGCACACTTATGATTTTGGTGAGAAATTTGCGCGCACACATACACAGAGAAAGAGAATCTCTTGTCTTTCTTTAAAAGGTCCTGGCCACTTTTATTTTTTAACGTCCTTCTGTTCCTTGTCATAAAAGTCTCTGTGGGGGTGACCAGAATGCCGAAAAGCTCAGCTCGGTGAATAGACCTAAGAACCAGTCAAAGGTTGAGCAAGGAGACTGAGCAGCAGGGACCCCCAGCGTGGAGAGACTCCGCCTGGCACCAGAAGGCCCTGAAAGTTGGCCAAGAAGAGCCTTCTGGTGATCAGGGGCGCCCAGAGCAAGGGCTCTTCCTGTTCTTTGCATCCATGGTGAGAGAGCAAGAGGGCCACCGCCACCGCCCCCCACGCCCGTCCGCGCCCCCCCCACTACGGGGAAAGGAGGAGGCGCCTGCGGTGTACGCTGGCACCCTTGAGTTCAGCCCAGAAGCAGCCCTCCAGGAGGACCAGGGCGGCCGTCGGGGGCACGTGGCACGCAGACTTCGTTCGGCCTACTGGGAAGGGGTGGATTTGCTTCTCCCTCCCCTTATGGGCTCCCTAGGAGAATACGGGGACAGCAGCGCTCCCTTTCCCCACCTCTGCGATGGGCATCCCGGGCCGCTGTTGCGCTCAGATTTCGGGAGGAAGGCGGGCAGGCGCAGCAGAGTCTGGACGTTGGCTTGGGAGTTGAAAACGCTGCCCTGCGCAGGACCGCCCTGTCAGTTCTGCCCGCCATCCTAAAGCGATGGGTGCAAACCTTGGTGGCGAACGGACGCAAGCGAAGTGAGTCTTTGCTCACGCCTTGACTTGGGGCAGATTTGCTTCCCAGAGACAGGCCGTGGCCTTTCGCCCGTGCAAAAACACAGGAGGTTTGGGACCACGGAGAGCCGGGTGTCCGTTTGCAGAGGCCTGGGCGTCTGTGTGTCTGTGTTGTGTGTGAGCGAGCGAGTGAGGCTGCCGCCACAGACCGAATGGCTAGTGCACAAGATAAGAGGCTGGGCTCCTAGGGTCCGTGTGGCTGGCGGAAGGGGGAGAGTGGCCGGGAGGGGCTGCTCCCATTCCTCCGGGTCTCCCTCTCCAGCAAGAAAACTCTCCTGCCTCCCGAGAGAGACATCAGCAGCGCCTTCGGTGCAAACAGGCCTGGCCAGACAGATGGGTTTGCTGAAAGCCCGCCCGGAGGCATGTTTGCTCAAGACGTAGTAAGGCTCACTGAGTTGAGTGACTTTTGCCCCGAAGGAGGGGCTGCCTGGGTTGGCAGCCTTGGGGTGGCCTTCTCCTCCTCCAGCCCAATCCTTACCCGCCTCTCCTCTCTCTCTTCTCTCTCCCTCTCTTGCTGTCCCTGCAGGCTGAGAAGAAAGCCAAAGTGATTGCGGGGATGAACGCCGTGGAGGAGACGCCCCGGAGTGAGCCCCAGAAGGAAGAAGAGGCCAGCCCCCCGGCCTCGCAGCAGCCCACCGACCCCGCCTCCCCCAATGTGGCCACCACGCCGGAACCTGTGGGGCCTGATGCGGCGGACAAAGGGATGTCCAAGTCGGGGGACGACGAGCCGGAATACGAGGTGAGGGGCTGCCCTCCCACCCCAGAAGCTCGGGAGAGGTGGGGCTCCTGGGCAGGGCAGGGCAGCTGCTCTGCTCTCCATCCTCAAGGCCACCTGGGCGAGGAGGTCCCCATGCTTGGCGTGGCTGGGTGAATTTGGGGCAGCGCACCTCCGCCACCGCCCCCCACTCAGGGAGCCCCTGTAATGGAGGAGACGGCCGTTGCTTTCCCTTTCTAGAGGAGCTGAGGCGGGGGGAGCCTTCTTGGGTCGGGGGTCCCCTCATTCTCTTCCTCCTGTGTGGTGGTGGCACAGCCCCTTCCACCTTCTCTGGAAAGGCAGCAGAGGTCGTGGGGGTGGACGGGTGAAGGGTGCAGGGGTGGATCCAGGGGTGAGGGGCAGAGGAGGAGAAGGGTTTCAAGTCGCGAAGGGCTCTGCCCATCTCTGCGGTTCCGAGGAGAGACCAGCCAAGGGAAGGGGAGGGAGTCCGTGCCGAAGGGCAGGGGGGTAGTGGGCGATCTGGGATGTCTAGAACCCCCCCTGCACAAAATTCTGGGAATGGGGGAACAAAAACCAAAGGCAAGAGAGGGAGGGCCCTGCATGCTCCACTCCACATCTTTCCGCTTTGAAGAGGAAGGATACAGCTTGGTGCTGGCTGGGAGTCTCGGTGCTTCCTGGGAGCGGCTGCACATCTTCCTGGGAAAGGTAGTTTTCTGAGGCATGAATGGGTGCCACAACTACCCTTCCCCAGCAGCGACTCCCAAGAAGCGTGGATTCCCAGGGGGCAGGAATCCCGAGCAGTGGCCAGCCCAGGGCTCACGACGGGCTCAGCCGGAACAGAAGCTGAAGAGACTGGAGCCGGAAGGGTTTCCTTGGAGAAACCTCGGGTCCAGCCTGCCAGTTGCCGAAACAAGAGGTCGGCGGCTGAAGCCTCCCAGGCAGGTGGGCAGCTGGGCAGGTGGCCCTTCCACCTCTGCCTTGGGACAGAAAGCAAAGCCGCAGGACGACCATCGAGCGCAGGAAGGGGCAGGGTGCTTCTAGTGACCTGGAAGAAATGCCTTTTCTAGCTCAGCTGAAGTGCAGGGGCTGAAAAGGAAGATGAACAGCCTCTCCTTTCTCTCCCCCCCCTTGCCTGAGTGGTCCCCTTCCCTGTGAGCGTTCTTGCACGCGCCCCCCCACGCTCTTGAGCCCATCGCCCTGCGCCCTCCATCGGCTGGCATGTGACACCCCCCCCTGTCTCTTCCCTTTCGAACCGCAGGACGGCCGGGGGTTTGGCATTGGGGAGCTGGTCTGGGGGAAGCTGCGTGGATTCTCCTGGTGGCCGGGCCGCATCGTCTCCTGGTGGATGACCGGCCGGAGTCGGGCCGCCGAGGGCACCCGCTGGGTCATGTGGTTTGGCGACGGGAAGTTCTCTGTGGTGAGTGACCAAGGCAGAGGATGGGCTCTGATGGGGGCTGGGAGGGAGAGAGGGGCTTCCCCCAAGCTGCCCCTGGCTGCGGGGGGCGGGGGCTGCTGCTTCCTTGCTGTCAAAGCCACCATTGCTGGAAAAAAACTTTCATCACAACCTCACTTGTATAGATGTTTTTATGCATTTCTAAGATCCACGCTAGCTTCCTGCAGAAATGTTGAATGCCATGCAGCAGAAGCAGTATAGTGCCCCCCCTTCCCCAAAAGGCAGGCGCCTGCAAGGCTAAGAGCCAGTCCGGCCGGCCAGCTGCAAAGGGGAGGCCCGAGCCCTGGGCCAGCCTCTCCCTCAGGAAGCTCTCCGGGGATCTCGGCAGTGCTCTGGAGAAGAAAGACACTGTTCCTCCTGCGCTCCCCCCCCAACCAACAGCAGGGCCCCAGAGAGAAGTCTCCGGGGCTCGGCTGTTCTCCTAAGGGTGGAGGCAATTCTCCAGAAGTTCGAGGTGCCCTCCGGAAAGCAGCCGAGAGACACCCGGAGAAGCCGGGCCTGGGCTGAGGTCTTCGGCTCTCCTGTCTCCTCAGAGTCAGCTTTGCACTCCCACACTCGCTTTCGGTTTTCAATTCTTATTCCATCCCCTTTTTTAAAAAAAAAATCAAATATAGTGGAACCTCTGCTTATGAACATCCATACCTACGAATGATCCAACTTACGAACAGCTCCATTCGGAAAATGTTGCTCCGACCTGCGAACGGAGCTTCCACTTACAAACAGAAACAGCCAGGGGGAAAAGGCGGGCAATTCAACTTTCTGTAGGTGGTGCTGAGGCTGCTTCTTTGTGCTGTAGCTCTTTCTGCAGTTATATAGGGTTTGGTCAGCTATAGGGTGTGTGGTCGTAGTTGGAGGCTTGGGAGAGCCTGCTCCTGCTTCTGAGTGAGCCTGGGTGTGTGTCTGCAGGGGGGGGTAAGCTGCTGTTTTCTCCTTTTAAAAAAACTGTTCTGGGTGGGTTCTGGTGTTTCTCTGCTGTGTTGTTCGTGCCTCTGCTTCGGAGTGTGTGTGTGTGTGTGTGTGTCTACAGGGCTCTGGAGTTTTTTCCCCTCTTAAACCTCAGCAACGGAGGTGGCTCTAGTGTTTGTTTTCTGAGGTTTTCTCTTAAAGCCTCAGCAACGGAGCACCTTCCGACTGAGCTTGCTGTGCTCCTTTTATTTTTTTGGTGATTTTTCTTCGGCTGGAACAGATTAATCAGTTTTCAGTGCATTCCTATGGGAAATGGTGCTTCTACTTACGGATGTTTCAACTTACAGCCACCGTTCCAAAATGGATTAAGTTCGTAAGTAGAGGTTCCGCTGTATACAGACATCTTCACTTATACAAATACCAGACATCTACAAATATACAAACAGAGTACTGGTCCAATCACTAGATAAGTGAGACAAAAAAAATTCAAGAACAAAATAAGTTCTCCATCATCTAAGCTTTATACAAATCTGTGGCCAGGAGATTGTGCTTCGCGCATCTGTAGAAGCTGAGTATGATCCATAAAAGCTCACACTGAAACATATTTGTTTAGTCTCAAGGGTGCCAAAACACTTTATTATGAACAAAAAATGAAACAAAATGAAGATTTATTTAAAAATCATATATTTTCCCCATAGGTAGTCCCCCCCAAAGAAAACACTTTCCCTGATCAATTACAGCTGTTTAAAGGGTATTTTTCTCTTTTGATGCTTCTAAATATAAACAACTAGAAAATGAAGTATTCCACATTCAAGCTGAACGCCAATACCAAGGGCTAACGGTATATCAGCAGGACTGTGGATCCTCAGTGTGGTGCGTAGTGGATAGAGTGACAGATGAGGACTCAAAAGTCCTGGGTTCGAATCCCTGCTCAGCTGTGGGAAACCATGTGGTTGGAGTCGGAATTATGGAAACCAGTCCTTCAGTCCTTCACTGACCTTGAAAGCCAAACTCTCTTGGGGTTGCTGTAAATCAGTTCTGACTTGATGGCGCAAAACCAGAGTTATTTTTACAGGTGCCTAAGATCTTGATTCTTTCAAGAACTTGACACACACCATGCAATCTCTGAGCCTCTGGGAAGGGGCTTGGTTTTTTTAAGTCTCCCATCGACTCCCCGCTTTGCGGAAACAGTAACCTTACTGTTGTTGTTGATGCTCTTTGTAACAAAAAAGTGATCTTGGCAGCTTTATGCTAAGAAATAAAATAATGTAACTTCCGGTGGCAATAAGAACCTGTTACATTTGATTTTTGTCCAGCACCATTACGCAGCGACACGCCCAATGTTGTCTAGTGCAGAGGTCCCCAACCCCTGGTCCATGGCCCGGTGCCGGTCCGTGGCTTGAGCCCGACTGGGCGGCCGACACAGACCTCCTGCCCCATCCCCCGCACGCACTCATCCCTGCACAGCCTGTTTGCGCATGCATGCCCGCACGAGCAGCATGCTGCCATCTTTGCACGCGCGCCTGCATGAGTGCCATGCTGCTGTTTGCACATGTGCACGCGCTCGTTCATGCAAGTGCATGAGCGTGGGGGTGCCCCACTTTCCCTGCCGGTCCGCGGGGTGAAAAAGGTTGGGGACCCCTGGTCTAGTGGGTATAGCAGGACTCTGGAGACCAGGGTTCAAAGCCCTGCTCGGCAAAGGGAACTCACTGGGGTGAGTGAGTGTGTATGTGTGTGTGTTTGTGAAACGGGTAAAGCCACTCCTTCCATCTCTCGCTGACCCGGAAAGCCCTCTTGGGGTTGCTGTAAGAAGGCAGTTCCAACGTGGCATCGCATCGACACAAGGAGCAGGGTCCGGAGCAAGACAGGTCTCCTTTGGGAAGTACAACCAGCCTTTGGAAAGGAAAACCCAGGAGGAGGAGGAGGGGCTGGGGCAAAGCTGTCCTGCCTTCCTCAGAGGTTGTGCTGCGGACGGCTTGAGCTGGCCCTGGGCCGTGGGGGGGGGAGGCGGTGGGACCTTCGCCCTCCCTGGGCTGCCCCCAAGGGACTGTGGTCAGTGAAAGGCAGAAGGGGGTGCAGGGTCAACAGGGCAGGAGGACGGGTTGGCTCCCCTCCTGACCCCAGAGCCTTGGGTGGCCTCTGTGGGGCAGCCGTGGGGAGTGGGTGCCCAGTGTTGTGCCCCGTTCTTCTGAGCCAGCGCTGCCTCATCTGCCGTTCGGGTGCTCTCACCGGCCCCGTAGTCTTTGCTTCATAGACCTTGTGAGGAGAGGGCTCAGGGCCATCTTTCATTTCTTTTTCTTTCTCCTTTTTTTTGTGTGTGTGGGGGTCTAGGTCTGTGTGGAGAAGCTGCTTCCGCTCAGCTCCTTCTCCAGCGCCTTCCACCAGGCCACGTACAACAAGCAGCCCATGTACCGGAAGGCCATCTACGAGGTGCTCCAGGTAAGGGCTGCTCCGTGGCTCCCACCTGGCCGTCTTCCACTCTCCTGCCAGGAGAACCTGGGAGATGCCTTCTGGCAAGCCTTTGCTGCTGCCCCCCCCCGGTCAGCGCCTGGAGAGGGGCAGATCCAGCGAAGACTTTGAGACGGCTCGTGCCAGCAAGCCCAGCTGCGTACTAGGAGAGGAAACTGCCTCCTCGGAAGGATGTGGGGTGGGGAAGGGATTCCCTGCTCCTATAGGTGGGGCAGCCCTTGCTGATGTAGAGGGAGGGAGGGAGGAAACGAAAGTGCCTGCAGGGAGGTTGGGGGCACCTCCCTCATAACCGTGGTGGGGCCCAGCAAGAAGACGTGTCCCCCCAAAGCGAATGTGGCTCTCTCTCCCCCCCCTCACTCTCTCTCTTTCATGCACATACACCCCTTTCTTTAGGTGGCCAGCAGCAGAGCGGGCAAGATCTTCCCATCCTGCCCAGAGAATGATGAAACAGACACGTCCAAAGTGGTGGAGATCCAGAACAAGCAGATGATTGAGTGGGCCCTGGGGGGGTTCCAGCCCTCTGGCCCAAAAGGCCTGGAGCCACCCGAAGGTGAGGCATGGGGCTCGGTCAGGAGGATCGCTTTCTGGGGGCGAGAAGTAGCACGACGGGGGTTGGGAGGGTGGGTGCCTCTCGCCCTTGTATGCATTGGCAACAGCGGGAGAGAGCGGACGGCTCTAGCCATCAGACACAAAGTTCTCCAGGGCAGGGATAATCTGCCAGAGAGCAGCCCCCCCCGGTGCTCAGCGCCCCAAGATGTGCCGCAGAGCACACCAGCGAAAGGGGGAGGATCCAAGGATCCCAAGCGCTCTCTGCTCTCGTGTCTTTCCCCGGCTCTTTCCCCCCCACCGCCACCATTGCGGGCAGGTGGGCATTCCTCCCTCCCTCCCTGACCAATGCCTTCCTCCCTGCTATCCTAGAGGAGCGCAACCCTTACAAGGAGGTTTACACTGAGATATGGGTTGAGCCGGAAGCCGCTGCCTACGCCCCTCCTCCGCCGGCCAAGAAGCCCCGGAAAAGCACCGCCGAGAAGCCGAAGGTCAAAGAGATCATCGACGAGCGCACCCGAGGTAGGTAGGGCAGGGCAAGGGGGTGGGGGGTGGGGATCCTGGCTGGCTGGCCGGCTACGGCCCTGTTCCCCTTCCTCCTTCCGAGCTGCTCTTCCGGGAGCCCAAAGGGAGCCCAAAGGAGCTCCAGGACGGTGGCCACCTTGGCCACTCACGGAGGTGCGTTGCCGACCCTTGGCGCTCCTGCCGGCTGGTCTCTTCCTGCCCGCCTGCGATCACAAGGGGCCTTGGCCGCGGCCTCCTCTCGCAGGACAGCCCAGCCGAGGCCAGATCCAGGCGTCGAGGAGCCCCCGCGCAGCAAGGTGCCAGGCTTCCTTGCGCGCCCCCCCCTCTGCCCGTCCTCCTGGGAAGGGAGCGAGCTTTCCCTTGGGGTCCGTGGGGAAGGGCCCCCGTCTCCTCTTTCCAGCGGCTTTCTGTCGCCTTCGGCAAGGCTGGGCCATGTGTCCCCACCCCCACCCCTCCTGCTCTGCTTCTCCTCCCTCCAGCGGTTCCCAGCTGAGGTGTTCTTGGACTGCAACTCCCAGAAGCCTTCACCACTAGCTGGGGCCAGCTGGGGTTTCTGGGAGCAGCGGTCCAAGAACACATCTGGGTCGTCCAAGGTTGGGGACCCCTGCTGTGGACCCCCAAAGAGCTCCCGTCGTGAAGATGCATGCAGTGCTTTGTAGACTGAGGGGCCCTAGCAGGTCCATCGTCCTGCTACCC